CATCACCATATGATCCAACTCGTCGAGTTCCCTTATGGGACTCAACGAGTCCAACAGTCAGTTGCCGGAAATGTCATTTTTCCAGCTTTAAAATCAAACAATTGCATCAATATAATAGAAAACACCCTAGGCTATGATACCACTGATGGGTTTTAATCACTAGAACATCCCTATGGTGAACATACAACCCTAATGCTTTGGATCTAAGTTTTCTCTAATTATACATGCAGTTTTCTTTTTTCCAAAGCATGAAGCCTAACTAGCATGCAACTTGATATTTGAATAATAAAAACTAGTTAGAATAATACCTTTTGTTTTAGCTTGTTGAATTTGGCCTTTCTAGAGCTTAGCACCCTAAGTGTAATGCCTCAAATGGTTCACAAAACACCAAGAGAAAATGGAGGAACTTGAGAGAGGTTAGGAGCACACAGAAATCGGCTATACTCTTGTTGTATTACATGTGTGTCCGATTTTGGGGCCTATGGGGTACATATATAGTGTAGAATTCCAAGAGTCATATGTAAACCCTAATTCTTACACTTAGGCTTATGATCCATAACCATTTGATAACTCTTTGGACCAACTTAGTCCACCACCAATCAATCATGGATCATCAGCCCAAACTATATGTATCATTGATTTACATAATCAGTCCCTGTAAATTTAATTAGTCTCTTTTGATCACTAAATTAATTCCAAATTAATTCTTGATCAATACCAATTAAATAATATGATTCCTCAATTAATGTATTATACTTATAATATATTAATAAACCACAAATAACATCTTTCTCAAAATTTTATCCTATCAAATTGCTTTGGAGAATGCAACCCATAATGGACCATGCTACTATCGGGTCAATTACATACAAATTATAGTTATGGGCTTAGACACCTAATCCAACACCCTACTCCTTTGAGCCTCCCCTACCATATCTCTTTCAAATATGAACTATATGTAACATCCAAAAATATGGTCCCAAAAATTTTCGATTTAATATTAGATAAAATAGTAGTTTTCCATATCATCCAAACATTTCAAATAAACCAGTGTATCAATTGTCATAAATCAGAGTACACCATCATAACAAAATCCCAATGGTGTGTGCAATGCAGTCATCCCGAGCTCTTCCCCTTGGAACCAGAGCTACCTGAAACATAAATTGAAAACCGTAAGCACAAAGCTTAGTGAGTTACCCCAAAATACCGCATACCATACATATCAAGCAATGATGAGATACAGGCCCCACCCATACTCCAATAATATTGAGATGCGGGCCCCGCCCACACTCGGATGAAAATGAGATACGAGCCCCGCCCACACCCATGTAACGGGCCCCCGCCCAATAGACATACATATACAAGCACATACATGCATCATATAGACAACAAGTATAACCACATAATCATACAAGGGTCGACCTTGGTGCCTTAGACCCACAAAACCTGGTGAGGAAAACTCACCTTGAATGCTGAATGATAACTGGATAAATCCCCGACCCGGAAAGAACTCTACTTAACCCTTAAACGGAAACAATCCCTTAGATACCGATCATTATTTCAAAACCCCTAAAAGGTCAAACTTGGCTAAAGTCAAAGTCAAGGTCAACACCCAAGTCAAAGTTAAAGTCAACGCTCCGAGTTGACTCAACTCGTCGCGTTATCCTTCAACTCGTCGAGTTGAGTCAACTCGGAGCGTTGACTTTGACTTTGACTTTGGCCAAGTTTGACCTTTTAGGGGTTTTGAAATATTGATAGGTATATATGGGATTGTTTTTGTTTAGGGGTTGAGTAGAGCTGTTTCCAGGCCGGGGATTTATCCAGTTATCATTCAGCATTTGAGGTGAGTTTTCCTCACCAGGTTCTGTGGGTCTAAGGCACCAATGAAGACCCTTGTATGATTATGTGGTTATACTTGTTGTCTGTGTGATGCATTTATGTGCTTGTATGTGTATTTCTATTGGGCGGGGCCCATTACATGAGCGTGGGCGGGGCCCGTATCTCATTTTGATCAGAGTATGGGCGGGGCCCGTATCTCACTAGGCGGGGCCCGTTTCCGAGTGTGGGCGGGGCTTGTATCTTAATATTATTGGAATGTGGGCGGGGCCCGTATCTCATCATTGCTTGATTAGTATGGTATGCGGTATTTTGGGGGAACTCACTAAGCTTTGTGCTTACGGTTTTCAGTTTATGTTTCAGGTACCTCTGGTTCCAAGGGGAAGAGCTCGGGATGACTGCATCGCACACACCATTGGTTTATTTGAAATGTTTGGATGATTTTGTTATGATGATGTACTATGATTTATGACAATTGATACATTGGTTTATTTGAAATGTTGGCATGATATGGAAAACTACTATTTTATGTAATATTAAATCGAAAATTTTTGGGACCATATTTTTGGATGTTACACCATAATTCCAAACCCAAACCTATTGTGGTGCACATCCATTTCCCACTTCCTTTTTTGCTATTTCTTCAACACAATTCCAAAAGAAACCCTCAAATAATCGACTTCATAAATCCTCTATGGAGATACGATTACAAACAAACTCAATCAACAATTCAAGATTTACCAAAAAGCATCAATTTTGTTCTGATCCACTACATATTACTAGTGGGTTTCAGAAAGGGGACAACTTTCTCGATTGATTCAATGTTGGCTAAAGTGTGAACAAACGTGATTGGGATCATGAAGAAGAAAGAAAGATCGATGAAGGCACCACTCATTAGCTATCTTATAATATTAAGTACCGTGAACAACATAGATAAATTGTCCCACTAAACATCGTGAGGCTCAAGAGCCCAATCTATGATCCAACAAGTTGGGTTCCTTGCCACCTGATGGGTGGAGCTAGTGGGGTTCGATGTTAGCGTAACTAAGATTTAAAGAGGTGAGATTAGCACAAAGCATAAAGATTCTCGGGAGATGTTCAGGTGCAATTTCATAGAACTCGGGGAGACTCATCAAAACTGATGGGTGGGTAGAAGTGGGTGACGGGTAGGTTGCAAAAGAAGGTAGATGTGGATGATGGGTAGGTCGCCGAAGAATATGAAGGTGAGGCTGACTGATATGGTGGATTATGGTGGTGGGGGTGAAATCGAGGGGGGGGGGGGGAAGAAAGATAGAGATGCCGGCAAATAACCCTAGGGTGGGGTTGGGGTAAAAGGTCCTTTTTAATGTTTATAAATATATAAGTCAAAGGGAAAATAATCATTTTAGTACACTTAACGGATTAAAGTAATGGTTGTTAAAACCACTAACCAAAACCACACTAAATGGCCATTTTTACAAGTCGAAACATATTTGGACCTTAGCAAAAGAAATATTCAAATCACAATGGCCATTTTTGCATTTTTTCCTATGTTAATATTGTAAAGTTAAGCATTGTTTTTACAAATGGCTTATTTTTATCCACAATTTGTTATATGCTCTAAACAATGGCAATAATGGACCATCGTGAGAGCCATGATCTGAAAAAAATCCCTCATACTTCTAGATCGACGATGTGTATCCTTGGTTTAGACCTAGCTTATCACGAGTGGATATGTTTAGAGATGAACAAAATGATAATGGTACAAGATGTATTATATATATACTCACACGTGATAAGCTAACCCATAATTATTTCGTCAATGAAAAAGATAAACACACGCATATCTCCACTACGTTTCTTTTTCGGATAACAATTGCTAATTTAGGGGGTGTTTGGCTAAGCTTATTTTTAGCTTATTATCGGTTCCACACCTGTATAAGCTAAAAAAGATGTTTGGATAAAAATAGCTTATACCGGTGCCATACCGGTAATAAGTCAAAATCCATAAGTAAAACACCTATAACTTATCAGCTTATAAGCTATAAGCTATAAGTTGAAAAGTGTTTATGATTTTTCATAAGCTTAGCCAAACACCCTCTTAATTGTAAAAATATATCATATAGATCAATACCACAAACGATCATTTTAATGAGTGATGTGAGTAACGTTTGAGTTTTTGTCCTACTACAATGATCTGATCCTTATCTACACCCTCTGTCAAAACACAATACTGTTAAATGGAAAATTATATATATATATATATATATATATATATATATATATATATATATTTTAATAGTAATTGTTTGTCCACTCACCACAACGAGTTTCGCGGTATTTCGAGGTGTGTGTGTGGGGGGGGGGGGGGGTATAGTCTAGTCATGTAAAATAATTGCTAGGTAATATTTGTTGCTTTCTAATCCTAGACTTTCCAGAAGTGTCCTCTATCATGTATAAATAAGAGTTTTACTCCGAATGAACAAATCAGAGTTGTGATGTGTAAGACTTGAATACTCTCAAAATCCTCTCTGTTGAAATTTATATTTATGAATAGCAGAGTTCATTCATCATCCAAGATCGTATCCAAAATCATCCATTAAAAATATAATATTCAAAGTTCATTTAGCATCAAAGATCGTATCCAAAACCATCCATTAAAAATCTAATATTCAGGTCAGTCACTCTATCATCATTCATTTCTGTATTTACTTTTATTTATGTGGGGGTCTACCTTTAGCAATGGAACTAAGTGCTCAGTTTCGAACCACATCTCACCCCATTCTTCGCAAATCCTTATGTGCTTTGGACGAGAATTGAATTTGGATCATTTTTACTTAAATAGTTAAATGCTTGCCAATCCCATATCATCCTCCACAACACTAGACCATCCATATGTTTTTTAATAACCATACAACATAATGTAGTTTATTTTTAAAACACTAAGCAAACTACTATACTAATTTAGTTTATGCTACATAGATATAAATAGATTATCTGAATATAAAGATTCTCGGAAAATTCCAATTCGGCAAATTTACGGATCCAAAACCCATAAAAAATATCATCGGTATGTACAATTGAACCAATTTGTAAGCAAGCAACAACACATGGCCTAGCTGGATAAACACCATAGCTGTTACTTTCAAAGTTTGAGCCCTAATTTAATAACCTCCCTTTCTGTAGCAACTTTGAAATTAATTTGGAAGATAACTACTCCTATTTTTTAAACATTATCATAATTACGTACACACCCTCTTGCCTCCTGGTGCCATTGTTTAAAAGATTCTCTCAATTCAAGAAAGCAATGAGTAGGTTTAACCCAAAAAGGACCCCACGTTTCGAGTTTTTCAACAAGCCTAAAAGAAGGGTCTTTGGGCAGAGAGATATTTGATTGTGTGTATTAGCAGTAAGCGACCACCATGTGCGCACTCTCTTTGACCCCTTAATTAAAGCTGGTATTTTAGGTTTAAATTTTGGAATCTTGTGGTGGGTTTTATGTCAGAGCAGCAATAATGGCTTCAAGTGGGTAGTTGTTCTTGTATTTGTGGAGGGGTTGACCTAAATTTATTGTCTTGATTTGGGTTTTCATATAGTTTTCTCAAGTGGGTTAGAGTTCATTTCGCTTCGTTTTCGTTTCGTAATGTGGGTTTTGTTCCGATTGATTGATGCTAGATTTGGGGTCAGGGTTTGTGAAGTTGAGTTCTGTTAAGTTGTGCGATCTTTTAGGGTTTTTAGTTTGATTTGTGTTCCGTTGACTTGTCAACGTGCATTGGTGAAACAGTGGGGTTTATTGTTGTCGGTGATTAAAGGTTTGCAGTGTGTAGAGGGTTTGATTTTGTATCTTCAGCAGCAAAAATGGCTTGTATGAAGTTGGGATCTAAAGCAGATGCATTCCAGAGACAAGGCCAAGCTTGGTATATTTTTTATTCTTTGTAAAGTTTTCTTATTATTTCTGACCTATTGTTTATATATTTATGTATGCATATGCATATATCTGTGTTACTGTATATAATGTATGTTAGAAGATTTTTACTTGAAGCTTATACATTACTATGATGTGTGATTTGATCTCTGGACATATATCATATATGTTAGAAAATGGTACTTAGATGGTGTTTCTTTTGACTTGATCTTGTAAGCTATTTCTTTCAAATGTTATGAATTTTGAGGTTCATGGTTTGTGAAATCCTAACTGTGGATGGTTGATCTTCATCTCGTTTGTTGAACTTTAAAGCCAAATTTTGTATTGTGAAGTTTGAAATTGTGTTTATAGAAATTTAAAGAACCCGGATATGAATATTATTGTAGGTTTTGCACAACTGGTCTCCCAAGTGATATTGTGGTTGAAGTAGAGGATATGTCCTTCCATCTTCATAAGGTAAACTTTACTACTCCATTTGTTCTCTATTTGTTGTGATACTTTGACTTTGATTGTCAAACGAACAACTTGTAGTCTTAAATAAAATCGATCTACATGTAATTGATTTTAGCATAAAAATCGGCAACTACATCAAAAAGTACATAGAGTGCTAGAATTATGAAACGGCTTGACATTAAAAATGTTAAACGAATATAATGAAATTATACATTTGGCAAGTGAAAGTTTGACCTTCAGAGTCAAAGGATCTTTACTTACAAAATACAAATCAAGTTGTTCATAAGTGGATACATAATCTCAATTTTTTTTAATATATATCAAATAAAGCTTTAACCTTTTTGATGTATATCAAATAAAGCTTTGATCTTTTCGATGTAAATGGAATAAGGCTTTGATCTTTTTGATGTATATCGAATAAGGCTTTGATCTTTTTGATGTATATCGAATAAAGCTTTGATCTTTTTGATGTATATCGAATAAGGCTTTGATCTTTTTGATGTATATCGAATAAGGCTTTGATCTTTTTGATGTATATCGAACAAAGCTTTGATCTTTTTGATGTATATCGAATAAAGCTTTGATCTTTTTGATGTATATCGAATAAAGCTTTGATCTTTTTGATGTATATCGAAAAAAGCTTTGATCTTTTGATATATATTGAATAAAGCATTGATCTTTTTGATGTATATCGAATAAATCTTCAAACTTTGTGATTTTTTCAATTTTTTACAGTTCCCTTTGCTCTCAAGAAGCGGGGTTATGGAGAGATTAATAGCAGAAGCTTCCGAACAAGAAGACAAAGTATGCACCATAACCCTCCCCAACATCCCTGGTGGGGCCAAAACATTCGAACTCGTTGCCAAATTTTGTTACGGTGTAAAACACGAAATCACCGCCTCAAATGTCGTCCACCTCCGGTGTGCCGCCGAACACCTCGAAATGACCGAAGAATACGGCGAAGACAATCTAATTTCACAAACCGAAACATTCTTCAATCAAACCGTTTTAAAAAATTGGAAAGATTCCCTAAAATCCCTCCAATCCATTCCCGATCTCCCACACGCCGAAGAACTCAACATCACAAAACGGTGCATTGACTCGTTGGCGGTCAAAGCAAGCACGGACCCGAATCTATTCGGTTGGCCCGTGGTGGACCACCGTGGGCCCATGCAGAGCCCCGGTGGTAGCGTGTTATGGAACGGGATTAGCACCGGGGCCCGTCCGAAAATCGTGAGCTCCGATTGGTGGTACGACGATGCTTCATCTTTAAGTTTACCACTTTACAAACGGTTAATTTCGGCTATGGAAGCCCGTGGAATTAAACAAGAAATCATCGCGGGGTCTCTTGAATATTACGCGAAAAAGTACTTACCCGGGTTGACTCGCCGGAAAAGTGCTCCGGCGGGCCACCTGGCGGAGCCACCACTGGAGGAAGATCAAAAGATTTTACTCGAAGAAATCGACCGTTTACTTCCGGTCCAAAAAGGGCTCGTGTCAACCACCTTTTTATTTGGGCTTTTACGGACCGGGTTGATTTTACGGGCCAGCCCGAGTTGTGTATCGAATTTGGAAAAAAGAATCGGGCTGCAACTTGATCAGGCGACACTTGAGGATTTATTGATGCCAAATTTTTCTTATTCGATGGAGACTTTGTATAATATTGATTGTGTGCAACGGATGCTTGAGTATTTTATGGCTATGGATCAAGCAACGGGTGGTGCGTCTCCTTGTTCGATTGAAGATGATGAACAGTTGTTGGGTTCACCATCTTTGACCCCGGTTACAATGGTGGCTAAGCTTATTGATGGCTATTTGGCTGAAGTTGCACCCGATGTTAATTTGAAGCTCCCAAAATTTCAGTCTCTTGCGGGTGCGGTTCCTGAGTATGCTAGACCGTTGGATGATGGATTGTATCGTGCAATTGATATTTATTTGAAGGTAATAAAAAGTTAGTGTTTGGGTAATGTGTTGTCTATATTCAAGAAAATTACAGCAAGCTTAGGGAAATGGAACGGAGATATAAATGAGGGCAAATTTTTAAAAAGTTTGGACTTACTAAGGAAAACCTATCTCCCTTGCTTTCTTTGTTAAGTCGTTCTTTCTATATCAAGTAAAAATGAAACACCTTTTATATAGTTTTATAGCTTATCGGATTAAGTCATGTAAGCACTTAATCCGGTACTCTATATCTGGGTGTTTCTTTTTTACTTAATACAGAAAGAACAACTTAATAGAGAAAACAAGGGAGATGGGTTTTCCGTGGTAAGTCCAAACTTATTACAAATTTACCCTCATTTATTTCTCCGTAAATATGTTTTCTGAATGGTATTTCGAAGGGTATAATGGTCCAATCTTATTCATTTTATTTTTTCCGAATGCAGTCTCACCCATGGTTAGCAGATTCGGATAGAGAACAACTCTGTAGACTCATGGATTGCCAAAAACTATCATTAGAAGCTTGCACACATGCTGCACAAAATGAAAGATTGCCATTAAGAATCATAGTCCAAGTTCTTTTCTTTGAGCAGTTGCAGCTCCGGACATCAATCGCCGGATGTTTCTTGGTGTCTGACAATCTGGCGGACGGGTCACGGCAGTTAAGAAGCGGGGTGGTTTCCGCCCAGGAGGGTGGCGGTGGTGGCTGGAACACAGCGGTGAGGGAGAATCAAGTTCTGAAAGTTGGTATGGATAGTATGAGGATGAGGGTGTCTGAGCTTGAAAAAGAGTGTTCGAATATGAAGCAGGAGATTGAGAAACTGGGCAGAGGTAAGGGTGGTGGCGGCGGCGGTGGTGGTGGTGGCGGCAGCAGTGCGTGGGGTAACATGTCGAAGAAGTTTGGGTTTAAACTCAAGTCTCAAATGTGTAGTGCACAAGAGGGGAGTGTTAGCAAGCAGAATAATGGAAGTGGGAAGATTGAAAAGGGTAGAGAGAAGCAACATAAGCATAAGAAAGATTTGTCTTGGGCAGGGTAAAATTGGAAAAAAAAATGTTGAAATTGGAGAAAAAAGATATTTGTTTGGCAATTGTACTATCGAGTAGAATGACGATGTGACATTGGTGTCTGAAATGTTGGTTTTTGGTTGGAAGGTAAGAAAGGTGGGTAAATGGTGATCCGTGATCATAATATTTTGATATAATGGTCAAATAAGTAAATTTAACAATACAATTAGTATAATTGCTAAGCAAATATCTTTTATTATTATTATTATTATTATTATTATTATTATTATTATTATTACTACTACTTTTGAGCTCTTTGTATGTTTTATTAGCTCTCTTGTTGATTATGTTTAGTTTGAGTTATAAATGTTATGTGGTCATAGTAACTTGTAAGAAGACTTGTGTGTAGAGTAAAAAGTTATTTGTTTGGGATCTTTATTATCAAGGAAAATGGAAATATGTATTTGGTCATTTTGTTGTTGATATATATATTTTTTCTGTAATATTTTGATTGGCTTGTTTTAACTTTTAACTTGAAGAAAATAACCTCTTTACTAACTAAAAATATTTAAAAATTTATTTTCATTTCATTTTCAGTATATATTTATATTTCTTTGTACTAAAAATGCTAAAAAAAACTCATTTCTTTATCATTCTCAATACGCATTTATATTTCTCTATTAAAAAAAAACGACAAAAAAATTCATTTTCATTTCATTCTACGACATACTCTTTGTACACTAAATAATAAAATCATTTTTTTTTTTCCAATTTGACTTTTTGAAGAAAAAGTAAATAATTATATTTTGTATTTTGTGAGCATGAAATTGTTGCCTTTGTTGGACATATTTTGGATATAATAAGTTTGGAAGAAAAGTAAATCATTTTAAAGGGATAATGACTTGAAAGAGTAACGAACTTTCGATTTTGTTCATATTTAGTCACTAAACTTTTTTTCATTATCTATTTGTCATTGAATTATTGAAACTGTTCATATTTTACCCTTATGACCGGCTGTTACTGGTCATAAGGGTAAAATGTGAACAGTTTCAATAGTTTAGTGGCAAATAGATAACGAAAAAAAGTTTAGTGACTAAATGTAAACAAAATCGAAAGTTCGTTTCCCTCTAAAAAGTTCAATGACTAAATGTGAACAAACTTCCTCTTGTATTATGTTTTAGCAAATTATTTATTTTTGTTAAATTGTAGCAACATTTGTTGATGAAGAAATCTATAAAATAAAAAAAAACAAAACCCCGAAAAATATATTAAAAAAAACGAAAAACCGAAACCGAAATAAAAAACCAATGGTTTGGTATTTTCCAAAATAAAAAATCACAATTTTCCAATCTGATTTTGGTTTTACAAAAATTCAACTTTCAGATTTCCATATCTAAATCTCTCCCCCTTTTTATAATTGAAAAATGATTATAAAACCAAAAAGGGAATGAGAAAGCGCTCAATTCAGAATTTTCTATCCAAAACTCCCCCTTTATGACATGAGAGATAGAGGGAGAGACATTTAACACCTCTATATAAGGTATGTTCATACCACATGTAGAGGTGTGCTTGAGAGATGTAACATTGAGAGTGTTAGTGTGTGTTAATTATGTAGATTTAGATTTAGATCTTTTTTTGTAAACAACTTTCATAATAGAATACATCTCTTAAACACCCAAATCACCGTGTTCTTTAATTCCTCATGCCAAACCAATGGTCATAATTCACATCAGTGAGAATGGTTCATTTTTTTGTAAAACCAAAATCAGATTGGAAATTTTGATTTATTTTGGAAAATGTCAAACCATTGGTTTTTTATTTCGGTTTCAGTTTTTTGTTTTTTTTTAAATATATTTTCAGGGTTTTGTTTTTTTTTATTTGATAGATTTCTTCGTCAACAAATGTTGCTATAATTTAACAAAAATAAATAATTTGCTAAAACATAATACAAGAGGAAGTTTGTTCACATTTAGTCATTGAACTTTTTAGAGGGAAACGAACTTTCGATTTTGTTCACATTTAGTCACTAAACTTTTTTTCGTTATCTATTTGTCACTAAACTATTGAAACTGTTCACATTTAACCCTTATGACCGGTAACAGCCGGTCATAAGGGTAAAATGTGAACAGTTTCAATAATTCAATAGTAAATAGATAACGAAAAAAATTTTAGTGACTAAATGTGAACAAAGTCGAAAGTTCGTTACCCTTTCAAGTGATTATCCCCATTTTAAACATCTATTTGAACCGTTTATGTTAGTGTTTATAGAAATAAGGGACAAAGTTGACAAGTATTGAAAATGAAGGTCCTCAAGAACTCTGATAAACCATTTTGCACATCTTTGAACCGTTTCATGAACTGCCGAACAAACATCTTGCTCGCGTTCTCTCGATCTGTTGATATCTCCGATCTCCGATCTTGATCCGATTAACAATGGCGATGGCACCCGATATGTTGTTCAATTTGAGAAACAACTTCTACTTGGGAGCATATCAAGCTGCCATCAACAACAGCGATATCCCCAACCTCACGGAAGACGATTTAATTGAACGAGATTGCCTTGTGTATAGATCCTACATTGCCCTTGGAAGCTACCAAGTATGTGACTTCATCGTTATCTATATATTCTTTTCTCAATTGTTGTTTGATTTCATCTGTTGTAATTGATTTGATCTTCGATAGCTTGTGATTAATGAAGTCGATTCATCTGCGGCGACGCCTCTCCAAGCCGTGAAATTGCTCGCTTTGTATCTTTCCAGCCCTGATAGCAAGGTAAAATTTGTTTGATCTCGTAGTCATGTCGATAGCCATTAACTTGTATGCAATATGGACAACATCATTGTCTTCAAAAATGAAACACGTTGCTTCTTCTATTCCATGGAAATTGCAATAATTCCCCTTTTGAGGTTTCAGTAACATTGCAACCTTTGTTGAAAGTTCTATTTTGAAGTGAAGGACAGCATCACTGTGAAACAAAAAGAAAATTCTTCTGCCCTTCGATATTGCAATAATTTGGTTTTTGAGATTCCATACAGCTTGGGAAATCCTTTGTTGAGACCTCTAATTTTGAAGTTACTATTTCCCTTAATCATTGCTAAAATCATATTGGTTTGAGTCTATAGAGTATAGATGATTCCTTGGTTTTGTATTTACTGCATGATATATACTCAACATATTTGACAAACAGTTCAAAGTTTTGTGCACAGCTTAGTCAAAACTTTCAATTTTATTGGAAAGAAGTAACATGAATTATTGGTGTCATCTTAGTTACTTGAGAGTCTTGTGCTATTCATGAATTGTTCTTAAGTGATTTACATTTGTCGAATATCCTTGATCAGTTCTATATCTGTCAATTAGGTTAATTTTTCTTTCATAAACTGCAACATGCACAATTCAAAGTAGATGAATTCTTAATGAATAAAAGCATGTATGCTGTATGCCATTAGTATACATGTACCTCTGTTGTCATTTCATGGATAAAATGGGCCCTTTCTCTAACTAGTATTATTATGTGATCTGATAGGAAAGCATCATTTCAAGTATAAAGGAGTGGTTGGCTGATGATGCCATTGGGAACAATCCAATTCTCAGGCTTATTGCAGGCACCATATTCATGCATGAACAGGATTACAATGAGGCTCTCAAACACACAAATGCTGGAGGGACTATGGAACTGTTGAGTTTAATTTTTCTCTCTCTCTTTATGTTATTTGTTATTAATTTTATTTCCTTACTAATCCCCATAAAGGATACACATACACTCAATACTCTACATTCTAATCTTACATCAGTTATATTTTGCCACTCCTAGTTGCACACAGCTCCATAACTACAAACAATCATATATTTTTGGTTATAAATATAAACAGATCTTGATTTAACAGGGATTATTGTTCTTTTATTCTGTTCCTAATGCATTATGTCCCTTTCAGATATGCCTTGAATGTCCACATTTTCTTCAAGATGCACAGATCAGATTATGCTGAGAAGCAGTTACGAGTTATGCAACAGATTGATGAGGATCACACACTGACTCAGCTTGCAACTGCATGGCTTAATTTAGCTGTGGTATGTGTTTTCCTCTTTAATTCATTCCAAACTAAGTTGCTGTTTCTTTTCGACCTAATTGACTTATTGGGGACTTGACTTAATCTGGTAACCTATATATGAAAGACAAAGAAACAGCTCCTAAAAGTAAGTAAAATTACACTCTGTTTTTTACTAAGTGTACTATTTTATGAAATAGGGTGGTTCAAAGATACAGGAAGCATATCTCATATTCCAAGACTTCTCTGAGAAGTACCAAATGACTAGTCTGATCCTTAATGGGAAGGCTGTGTGTTCCATGCAAATGGCCAATTTTGATGAAGCTGAATCATTTTTACTAGAAGCACTCAACAAGGTAAATTTCCAATTTCCAAACGAGCCCCTGTTTTTCATTACATGACAATACAAAACAGGTTGTACTGCATGTGGCATGCATTGAACTGACACTGACACTGACACTGACACTGACACTGACACTGGGACAAAAGTTGAATAAGTTAATTGTAATGTTTTCATATAGGATGCAAAGGATCGAGAAACACTGGCTAATCTGGTTGTATGCAGTCTCCATCTTGGGAAACCTTCTTCACGGTTTTTAAGGTTTGCAGTCATTTTCTTAAATATTTTTTTTAAATATCATTTATCCAGACAGTAGTCTTTTAGAAACTGAGTTTTGTGTGTGATTTTTTTTTTTTTGGTTGCAGTCAGTTAAAACTGTCGGATCCAGAACACATGCTACTCAAACGGGGTTTATCTGCAGAGGAGAATTTCAACAGAGCAATACAAACGGTTGCTTAAAGATGTTGATTTTTGAAAAGGAAGTCAATTTTGAATACTTGTGTGTTTGAATATATGTTACTAAAAATTTAGAAAATAATTGATTTTTGTTTTTTCTAATGGAGGAAAAAGTAATGGTTTTGTCGTGGAGTAGTTGGTCAAAGGGTGTCTCACATGGGGTTAATTTAAATAAATGGGATTTAACTTTAAGAGAAGTATTAATCAAGTGATCTCACATGGGAGGATGCTTCTACATGGTACTAATAACAATTAGATCTTTGACTTCCGTAAATATGGATTGTTGGATCATCCAAAAATAAGATACATAAGAAAAGAAAAGGCTTGTAGGAGAATAGTGATGTAATATACGAAAAGAACAAACACGACTGAGCAATGAATG